TTAAAGTCATCTTTTATTTTAGAAACATTTTCTTGAATTATAATGTTGAGTATTTTTCCTATTGTTTTGTGTCCCCTTCCTCACCCTTTTGTACTTATATTAGATTTTCTATTTTTAATGTTATGTATGTATCACTCTGTCCCAAAACTTTTTTGTCTCCTATTTTTGAAATCTTCTGCTTCTTTTAATGCATTATTCATTGTGTTTTTCATTCAAAAATAATTTTCCCTTTTATGTTTAATTCTATCCAGAATTCTATCATCTCTCATTTCAAATCTTTCTTTTCTCAAATTTCCTAATTTCTGAGTTTTATATTGTTCTTGCATAGCTTCTTTAATTTTCTTAATTTATTTTAGGCTTTAGAGATATTATCCTGCCTCACATTCTCTGTCCTCTTATAATAATTTTAAGTGGGATTCATGATTCTTTTCTATTGCTCATTTTCTAGGTGCAGAAAGCTTTCCTGTCCTTTGCATTAGAAAGACCGGGATACTCTTTTCAGTCTCCTAATGCTAAAGCTACCTCTTCTGTTTTCGTAAAATGGTTTAAAAATATGTTGTTGTTGTTGTTGTTGTTATGTGCCATCAAGTCGGACCTGACTCATAGCGACCCCTCCTTGGGTTTCCGAGGCAGTATCACTACGGAAGAATGGCCTCATATTTTCTAAGATCTTTCTCTTCTGTTCCCTCTTTTATTTGGAATTGTTCTTGTCCTTGTTCCTATTGCCCTATTCTAGTCAATTTGGGTTCTATCTGTAGTACTCTTTTTAAGAACAACGTTAGTTTTGCAAGTTCAGACTGCTTCAGCAGCAGTAAACCTTACTGCATGGCAGCGTTCCTGCCCTCAGCATGAGGATCTGTTCCTGTACAGTTCTGTCCAGGTTAGCCTGTGGTTCTTCAGCTAGCATACCATTGAGTTTCTATTGGCAGTTTGTGGCAGTTCTCCTATTTTCAGGGCTCTCAGAGAAACCATGTGGGGCTCCTAGCTATCTGACTTGTCACTCTCTGCTCATATTTCCAGGTTTGCAGGAAACTTTGTCTCTTCCTTTTGTTGTGCATTTTATCCGTGGGTTTTCTGTTTTGCTTTGCTACTCTGTCTCCTTTTATTTTTATTTTTTCCTTTAAAGAATGAAGAACTGTAAGAGATTTAATTAACTTATTAATGAATGAGCAAGCAAGATTCAAACAAAGCTTATTCAAAGGACTACAGGAAACAAGGAAGTATTCTAATTGCTGAAAAAACTTGATGGAATAAGATTGTGAATTGCATACAAAGTGAATTGATATCCTCATCTATATGTCTACCGACAAAATTTATATGCATTGCTATCAGACACCTTTTTGCATTGATAACAGTTAACTTATACAGAGTTGTAAAATAACCTGGGAGCTCTGGTGGTGTAGTGCCTAAGGCATTTAACTGCTAACCAGAAGGCTGGCAGTTCAAATCCACCAGCCACTCCTCAGAAGGAAGATTAGGCAATCTACTTCCATGGAGATACTGCCTTGGAAACCCAAGGAAGGGTCACTGTGAGTCAAAATCAGTAACAAATAGTGAATCAAGCAAAAAATACATAGTCCTAAAAGATAAGATAATCCACCTAAAGTTCATTCAGGCATTGTTTTTGCCTGTTTTTAAGTTTGGGTTTTTTTCTCTTAATAGGTCCCTCTTGTTATCATCTCTAGATGAAAATTAAATGTTTGCTCTTATTAGTTGCATAATCCTATATGGCTCTACTTTTGCTAACTATACTATAAAGAGGCTATATATGGTAATATTTTTTTGCTGAACCTATGTTTGTGATCAGAAGGCTGGCGGTTCAAACCCACCAGCCATTCCTCGGAAGGAAGTTGGACAATCTACTTATGTAGTGATACTGCCTCGGAAACCCAAGGAGGGGTTGCTATGAGTCAGAACTGACTCAACAGCAGTGAGTTTGGTTTTTGTTTTGATTTATGATAATACTAAGTTTCTTGCCTGTGAGACCATTCTGTTTATAGTCTTTCTAATGAATATTTAACTGTTCTGAATTATCTTTTCCCAAACCAAATTCCGAATGAAGCTTATAGACACTTAAATTTTCAATCCAAATTATTTTTCAAAACTAAGATCTACATATAACTTCCTTACTAGTTTCTTTCATACTCATCTTGTTCAAATGTAGCAGCCTTGTTTGTTTGTTTGTTTTTAACTCACTACCTGATATTTCCATTTTTGTTTCTATTTCAATTAATGTTTCCTTTTTTGGTAATACATGAAATTCTATTTTTAACTAACCTATTTTTAGTGAGAAATCTGTTGTTGTTTTTAGGTGCTATCCAGTCAGCACTGACTCATAGTGACCCTGTGTACAACAGAATGACACTGCCAGGGTCCTGGGATTTCCTCACAGTCCTTCCATACTTGAGCCCATCATTGCAATTCGTTAAGGATCTTCTCTTTTTTTGCTGATGCTTTACTTTACCAAGATCCTTTTCCACAGAATGATCCATTCTGACAACATAACCAAAGTGAGAAATATAGGAGATATTTAATGCCAGTTTCGAAATAGAACATCATTTGCTCATGTTTAGAAAAAGTCCTTAAAATATTTCTTTTGATATGTGAAGTATTTTTCATACACTTTTAAATATGTTTTAGTAATTTGTGTGAAAGCTCTACAAGGGCTAAAGATAACAAACTTTACTGTCATACATTTTTCTATAGAGCAAAAGGTTGTTTATGTAGTCATTTATGTAAGGTTCTTACAAATAGTTGCAAAGTTGAAAGTACAGCTTAAAAATTACATTTCACAGTATTCCATGTAGAGGGCAGCAGAGAACTTAAGAGTTTGTTTTACCTTTGTCTCTAATATGGCTTTCCTACACCAACTTTCCAGTTGCTTGTTATCGTTCCATACAAAAGTAAATAAAAACAAATAATATCTAGGCAAAAAAAATAGTGATTAAGCTCTATTTCATTTCTAAATTCCAACCTAACTTTTCACATTAAAGGGAAAAAAAGGGAAGTAGCTTAACAGTCCTTTTTATATAGGGAAGGGAAACAATGTTATCTTTCTCTGTACCTTATTTATATTTTAGGAAAGAATGTCTTAAAACTTCCATTCAAGCAGAAGAATAGAAGCTATGACTAAATTTGGTCTTCAGAATCCAATTTTTTTTTAAATTAAAAACTTGTTATCTTTTATAAAACTGCATTATTATTATTAGCTAATCCACTAAAGTTTTTAAGTTTATAAATTCTAGATCTTCTACACTAAGACACTCCACAAGTCTGTGCCTCAATTATGCCATTTGAGAAATTCATATACATAAATAATTGCTATCGAAAACATAGGAGGCCCTGGATGATGCAAACAATTAAGCGTTTGGCTACTAACCAAAAGGTTGGCGGTTCAAGTCCATTCAGAGCACCTCAGAAGAAAGGCTTGGCAATCTACTTCTGAAAGATCACAGCCTTTGAAAACCCAATGAGCACAGTTCTACTCTGAAACACATGAGGTTGCCATGAGTTGGAATTGACTCAATGGCAGCTGATATTAAAAATATAATTACAGCACTACCACCAATTGAAACAAGATTTCTTCTAAAGCTTAATTAAACAACTTTAAGTATTTCATTACTGTCCTCTTCCTTTCCCACTGTCCCTACCTTAAGCAAAGTTTTTGATACCAGATTATGATTTTTCCATTGTTGCCAATCATCTTTCATACTGCTTCAAACTACCTACATATTTCTTACAGCATGACTTCATTGTCTCATCACCTGCTTAGTAGAATCTTCTGCTCCTTTTTAACCACAACCCATAACCTCACAGTTTGAGTTTACTCCCTCAGCCTCCTTTGATAAAGCCTTGCACTTTTCCTTGCTCAGACCTATTTAAAAGAAAAAAAAAAGTGTATATATGTGTATGTGTATATATATATATATATATATATAGGAGCTCTGGTAGCATAGTGCCTAAGGCACTTGACTGCTCACCAGAAGGCTGGCGGTTCAAACCCACCAGCCACTCCTCGGAAGGAAGGGCAATCCTACTTCCGTAGTGATACTGCCTCGGAAACCCAAGGAGGGGTCGCTATGAGTCGGGGCCGACTCGATGGCAAACAACGACAACAATATATGTATATATATATCCTTCAAGGCACCACTAAAACCTTACCACTTCTTTCTAATGTCTTTCCAAATCACATCTTAGCCTGGAAGACTATGAGAAATGGTTTCTGCTTCTGAACTCCTATATCACCTACTAGCTATACAACTTATTTTGGCGTTTTCAAAAGCTGTCTTGTATTAATTATCATTTCATGTGGCCTGTTTTCACACAATGATCTTAGCA